AGGGTGATAGGGGAGGGGGGAGGAAGTGGAGGGGAGATAGGGGAGGGAGGAAGGAGGAGGGGAGATAGGGGAGGGTGGAAGGAGGGGAATAAGGGGAGGGAGGGAGGAGTAGGGGGGATAGGGGAGGGAGGAAGGAGGAGGGGGAGGAGGAGGGGGAGGTATGTGATGGTGGGGAGGAAGGGAAGGGGGGGGGGGCGATGGATAGGAAGGAAAACAGGGGTCGTGGATGAATCATCTTTCATTCTCGTGTTTCGTTGTGTACTCTCTTTTCCGTGTTTTTTTTTTTTTTTTTTTAACTGTCTTTTTTCTATCAGCTCTCATTTTCTATACATTATTTTCATTTTGTCTTTTTTTAAATACGTTTATTAATTCATGCCCTGTACAGATTTTTTTTTAAAAAGGGATTTTCTCATCTAGTATACAAACACACATAACGCCAATCCAAAAACTAGAATAATTCTTTCTTTTTTTTCCGAAAATCCAGCCCATAACTCCCTCTGTTCGCCTCCACGCCTCAATGACTCCACTCACTCGACAAAAGCCCGAACGCCAGCCCTTTTTAGAGTTCGGTCGATGAAGACTAGAGGAGTGCATGAGTCACACTACCTAGCAACGAGTGTGTACCAACGACCAGGCGACTAAACGACTCTTTTTCTGTTTTCTTTTTTTTTTTTATACGAACTACTATCGGCAGGTGGAAGGCGCGGTTGACATTGCTGGAACCTCACACGCGAGCCTCCATTCGGGTCACGCAACGGAACATGATATTCATTTTGATTCAGACACGACGCCCAAGATAATGCTAGATCGATTAAAGTATTAAATGTGATAGAATGTTTCGTTCACGAGTTTGTTTATTTTCATGCGAGTACGTGAGAACAACTAACGATGGGGAAATATTTTTTTAAACAGACTTTGCATATACGCAAAAGGGATGGAAGATTTTCGATATTTTTCTTTCCCATGTTTAACATTTTTGAAGGTATTATTATTATATATATATTTTTTAATGCAATCATGCTTTATTTACTGTCACAAATTCCAAAACTAATTCATTATTATCATCACTTTTTTTTTTCTTTTTGGCCGAAATTCACACTAATTTTAAACCGAACGACAACCTTCATCCTTCTGAAGCCGCTGATTTATTCTGGAAACTTGATTAAAACGTTGCGATATATACGGTAGCATTTTACACAATTTTTCATCTTGATTACTGGTGAACATTTTGATTTGCATTTCATATATCCTTTCTGTCGCTTCACTGCAGAGAAAGAAATATTGTGCAAAAGTTATTAGCATTTTTATTTTTAGTTCGCAGTACAGAAAGTGGCATCAGATAAGTCTTGACAGAATATCGCACGCACACTGACGTGTATGTGATGAGTGTATGCCTGTGTGTGTGTGTGTGTGTGTGTGTGTGTGTGTGTGTGTGTGTGTGTGTGTGTGTGTGTGTGTGTGTGTGTGTGTGTGTGTGTGTGTGTGCGCGCGCGCGTATATGTGTGTGTGTGTGCGTGTATGTGTGTGTGTGTGCGTGCCTGCATGTGTGCGTGCGTTCGTGTGTGTGTGCTTCATCATATACCTTTGTTTGAGATATATCCCTGATTATTCACATACTGCGTAACAGAAATTTATGTCTATTTGCGATCTATTTTCATGCATTATATATATAAAAAAAAACATGTTTCTAAAAGGTTTATAAAAACTCCTGAATTAGGATAATTAAGTAATGATTTTTTTGGTTACATTCATTTGACACTATATCATCATCGTCATAATGATTTTATGACGATTACAGTTATTATTACCATCACATCAGCAGCAGCAACAACATCACATCACAAACATCATCATCATCACAATCCTGAATTTACCCTCTCGGTGACAGTTATCATTATCACCATCATCTTTATTAAACCATAACCAGTTTATCACAACAGCTAAAATCACCATATCCATCACCATCCTCATTTCATCACGCCATTTACAACTACCATGATCGTTATCATCTTTATCAACCAAGTCACCCTCGCGATCTATCATTCTAAACATTAATATTGATATGGTGTTTATATAGTATTGAATTGGTACTGATATAGTTTTAATAGCATTATTGCAGTATTTATCATTTTTACAATATTTATATAGGGTTATTATAGTATTACTATAGTACTAATACAGTGACAATGTAATATTATTACAGTATTACTATAGTATTAAGAGAGTATTACTATAGTATTATTACAATATTACTTTATCATTATTTTAGTATCACTAGTATTAATATAGTGTTAAAGATTATTATTACAGTATTACTATAGTATTATTACAGTACTACTGTAATATTAATATAGTGTTAAAGATTATCATTACAGTATTACTATAGTATTATTACAGTATCACTGTTGTATTAATATAGTGTTAAAGATCATAATTACAGTATCACTATAGTATTATCACAGAATGAGCACAGTATTCTAACCCGCCCTCGTCTCTCCCC